CAGTGACTCACTTAAGATGCTTGGGGGATATCGCCTTACTTCAGCTCGAGGTCATCCACGCAAAGAAAGAAGCCATAAACTGGCCATGGGTCAAAGCCAAATCTTACCCCCAGTGAACATCCCAATCCCAACTGAAATCCCGACGAAAATGGGATTGGTGCACCTACCCCAAAATGGGATCCCCTTGGTTTTGACAACCACAGCCAACTCACCAGGATGACAAACCTGGGCTGCCCTCGCATCCCCTGCTAAAAGTGGCTAACTTTTAGTGGGTGAAATTCGGAAACTACCACTAGACCAACAAAGAAGCTCGGCCGGCTTCGCCCAGAAACATCCAAGACGGCCATGGCAACCCCGGTTGCCACCGTTAACCACTCGCCTCGTGCAGTTCGGCGGCCAGCTCCTCCGATCTGGACCTCTCCCTGCGAGTCAGTGCGTGTGATTTCAAGGGGCGAAGTTCAAATGGTGAGTGCCATTAAAGCAAAATTAGGTCAAGACTCAAGACCAATCAAACAAAATGCTAACCTATGTTAGTACTTGGCGATTAAACTAACCATACTATTTATTCATTCATGAATATGTTCATATGATTCATATTCGTTGGTGTTGGTGCATTTCAAAATATGTATTTTTATTAAAACAAATTCAAGTCAAGACCATAGAACAACAACTTACTCACCAGCCCCGAAAATATTTCTTTTGTACTTGGCCTCGGGGGCGCGATTTCACCGGCTCAGGCGGTGTGATGACAAAGGTACTCGATGTATGACTCAGATGTATGACTTTGCCAGCTGGGTCGCTGACTTCCACACGCGGTGCGAGCGTGGATGTAGACATATAGCGGGGCATAGACATGTTTGCACAGATGCGTGTGTTTGAACCATGCGAAGTGCATAGCAAAAAAGGACAGGGAGAAAACACTTTCGACGAGAGGCTGGTAAGCAAACAGTGGGAACAACAAAACCACGGCCCCTGTTCTGACAACAGAGCTTCTTTGAATCGTTGATCCGTGTTCGCGGGTTTCAACTTGGCTTGAACGGAAACCAGACGGAAGCCCACTATTTGCGGGGCGAGGGGGCTCCCTGTGCGTCAAACATACCTGTGCTACCATGTCCTTCCGAAACTCATGGTAGCTTCTTAGCTCCCTCTTTGAAAGCAAATTTGGATATCTCCAGCTCCCTAACGGCTTCTCTTCAACCACCAGCTAGTGTGTATAACTTTGTCGCCAGACCCAAAAACGGGGGAGGGGGTTATTTTGCCCCCTATTTTAACTACATAGCTGTAAAAACAACATTGTTCAAGTGGGCGCAACTCGTTTTAGGGCACCCCTTTCTGGTTGGTTTAAAAGGGAAACCAACTGGAAAACCCCCATATCGGCAGGCGCTCATATGGATGTGGCTCAAACTTAAAAAGCCAGAATTACGCGGGTTTTAGTTGTTGGCTCCATTTACCAAGGTGCCATTTTGGTCTCCAAACGGGCAGCCTCAACCTCCGCACCTCGCCAGCTCTTCCTGGCAAGCTTCCAGGCGCCGAGAAAGCTCCTCGCCGCTGGATGGCTGGAGGAACTGAAAATGGCTTTGCAGTGGGGTGGCCTCGCAGTGGGTTTTTTTGGTGGAAACCCGCGGTGTTTTTTGCTGTTTTTTGCAGAAACCGTTGGGAAAAAAAACAGTGACTCACTATAAGTTGCAGAAACCGGTTTGTAGAAACCCAACCCAACGGTTTTCACGCAGTTTTGTAGAAACCGTCTTGTGGAAACCGCAGCAAAAGACCCATTGGGTTTGGGTGTCCCTTGGGTTTTTTGTAGAAACCACCTTGGCCGCTTTTTCCCCCGTGCATGGGGGTTGGGGTGTTTATTATAACGTCAAAAGTAGGGGCCCCCTTTTGGTATCCTTTGTTGGCGGGGCCAATCATTTAAAGAGGGCCCATCTTTTGGACAACACCAAATCTGCGGTCGGCCCGTTTCAATACTTAAAGCAGGAATGGCTCTATTCTGGACGCCTAGATGTGCCACGGTCAAAACGGCTGGACATGGTTTCGTGGCCCCCAATCCTGGGTCCATGACTATTTTTGCCAGCCCGGAAGAAAAGGAACCGACCTTTTGACCATGGACCCTGAAGCAATGCCGCGGGGCCATTGGTCAAACCCAAACATCTAGAGAATCAAAGCAACGGGGTCGGGCGTTTGCCTACAAAACAGCGCAAGGCCTTTCAGGAGAGGACTGGCCGCTACCTCACAAGAGCCACAATCAAAACCCAGTATTAAAATGGTCTACCCAGAACCGTGCAAAGAATTGAGAAGGCGGCCGCAACTATTTCTGGCTGGGACTGCCCCTTACTAACCTTCAACTACCCGGGCGTTGATTCTATCACAAGGATTTTGAATTCAGTCTGGACACTTTGAATGCTGATGTATCCAAACCCCTAAATTTGGTAATACATGCGCAAAAACCCAACTTCGCACGAGGGGTTGTGTTTATTAGATACAGAACCAACCCGGGCTCTGCCTGGACATGTGGTGATTCATGGTAACTTGATGAATGGTGGCTCTGCCGACGATGCATCATTCAAGTTTCTGACCTATCAGCTTCCGAAGGCGGGGTATTGGCCTACCGTGGCAATGACGGGTAACGGAGAATTAGGGTTTGATTGATTGAGAATTAGGGTTTGGTTCCAGAGAGGGAGCCTGAGAAACGGCTACCACATCTAAAGAAGGCAGCAGGCGCGCAAATAACCCAATCCTGACACAGGGAGGTAGTGACAAGAAATAACAATACAGGGCATCCGTGTCTTGTAATTGGAATGAACAGAATTTAAACCCCTTTCTGAGTATCAATTGGAGGGCATGTCTGGTGCCAGCAGCCGGCTCCAATCGCGTACATTAAAGTTGTTGCGGTTAAAAAGCTCGTAGTTGGATTTCTGTTGGGGGTGACCGGTCCGCCTTCTGGGTGTGCATCTGGCTCAGCCTTGGCATCTTCCTGAAGAACGTGTCTGCACTTCGCTGTGTGGCGCGGCATTTAGGACTTTTACCTTGAGGAAATTAGAGTGTTTCAAGCACGCGCACGCCTTGAATACATTAGCATGGAATAATAAGATAGCACCCAAGTTCCTCTTTTGTTCATTTCTAGAGCTGAGGTGATGATCGATAGGGATAGTTGGGGGCATTTGTATTTAACTGTCAGAGGTGAAATGGTTGGATTTGTTAAAAATGGACTACTGCGAAAGCATTTGCCACGGAAGTTTTCATTGATCAAGAACGAAAGTTAGGGGATCGAAGACAATCAGATACCGTCCTAGTCTAAACCATAAACTATGCCAACTAGAGATTGGAGGTTGGTGAACGGTGGGTGAGGCATCGCTGCTCCAGTCCTTGTCAGCCTCGGCCTGAGGCGATTGGACATGATACCGCACGAAACTTGCGGGTTGTCAGTGGAATCGCGGTTTGCCTTTTGGCCCTCCCCGGAACAAGAGGGGAATCCCCCAGAAGCGTAGAAGCTGTGCTTTTCTCAAATCGCGGCGGGTGTGCCTTACAAGAAAGGCAATCCTCAGCCTCAGCCAATTGGATTTATCTGTTTGTTCATAAAGCCTGCACAATGGCCTCATGGCGTTTTTCGGCAGCAAGGTCGAGTGTGTGATGCTCCCAGTTGACATTGTCAGCACCTCCAAGCCAGCGACGCACTTTAAAGTTGTCAGGTGCTGCAACATGATGAAGGTATCGGTATAATCAAGACATTGTCAGCCGTATGCTTGTCAGCGCCAGCTTCCAACAAGCAACCAACCTCATCATTTCCAAGGGCGTCCGCCCATCCAGGTCGGCCTTGTTCGCATCAACACTGACTTCCAGCAACCGCACAACTTCCTCCTTGCCCTAACGACTGCCACAGGCGGGACACAAGCTCGGCCACCCAAGTGTGATGTAGGGGCCCTAAAAAATGTCCCAGGCCCAGTAAACTGAATCTGCAAATAAGATGAATCACCATGTTTCAAGGATTCATATCTTTTTCCCTGCTCCAACGCTGATCTTTTCCTCCTAGCACCGCTCTGCCTTGCAGCTGCTTCAAGGGAAGCCAAACGGAAGCCACTCATTTCCGAGGGTGCCCCATCTTCTTGGCCAAACGCGTGGGGGGGGGTGGGCGACAACTTGCTGGTTCAATTGGAAAATGAGGTTTCTTTCAGGTTTGTTTCAATGAGGTTTGCCACAAAGCGACAACCCCAACCGGTTTGTTTCAAGAACGTGTCACAAGTCAGCCAAGTCCGGGGTGTTTTCGCGCCATGTTGAGACAACCCCATCCCCAGAATCGCCATGGGGCCAGAAAGCCGCGGCCGGATGTCACCCGTCCGAGGCCCGCGCGCTGGACACAGAGACGGTGCTCCCGCCTGGCCGAGAAAAAATGCCGACAAGGGGATGTCCATTTACTTCAGAAAAACAAAAAAATATTCCATTTTTTGGGCCTAAAGCTTTCATTTCTTAAGAGGGGTCGTTTTGTCTTGCCACTTTTGGGCGCCAACACACACTTCTTTTGAGGGGAGGTTCATGGCCTCTCCCAACTTTTGGGCCAACACTTCGGGTCGGTCCTTGGGCCCCCCCCAATGGCTAGCAAATGGTTAGGAAAGAGACCTCCTGGAAGCTATTCTCATGACAGAAATCCATTGGGGGGGAGGGCCTGGGTAGCCGCTTTTGTTCACCATCCACACCCACAGCAAAGATCCCATATGAAGGTAGTGTTCTGGACAGTCCCAAAAAAATGAAGGCATCTTGGGTAAGGCAAAGGGAAGGACTTTCCCCACCACGAGCTGGCCGCATGGATGACTCATGACGCATGCCTTTTCGACGAGCCATGTATTGAACATCAGCCACTTGTGTCTCCTATTGGCGGTTGGTCAAACGACCCCTCGATTGCGTGAGCTCATCCGAGTCATAGTCAACATGGTCGTAATCCCAAAACCCGGCAAAGAAGTAAGACAAGGCGTTTCATCCGCCCATGATTGGCAAGGGGATTGTCCCTTGGAAAACCTTCGGACCAAGCGCCAAGTTCATTGGGAGAGGTGAGACATCGGCGCCGATTTCGTTAACGTCGCAAGCTGTCAGGGTGAGGTCCCGCGAACCTGGCGGACGGCGGAGGGCAGGGAAGGGCTTCTTTCCACAGCATGACTCCATGACAACATCTGGGTGCGTCTCTTCTTTCGGAGGACCCCGTGTTTTCCTTGTGGTCTTCTTCCTTTAAAGCAAGAGGAAAGGTGTGAAGGGTGGGTTTCCTCGTGGTTTTCCTTCAAAACCAAAAACAAAAGAAGGAACGCCGCGCCGATAGTGCCAAGGTTCTAGGGGTTGATTCCCCATTCTTTTGAACCATCGTTCTTTCCAAAACCCGGATCCGTTATCCCTGGGGTTTTCTAGAAAGAAGGATTCCTGGGTTCAGAATGGGGAAGGCAATTCTAGAAAGGTCGCATGCGAGGCAGGTCCCTTCTCTCAGCGTCGCACCGGGCGCTTCGCCCAAGAGAAGTATGAGCCGAAGCGCCGCGCGCCTGCGAGCGAGCGAGCGAGCGAGGCGCCGTGGGTGGGTCAAACTGGGCTGTCCTTTTTCAGATCCCCTGCGAAAAGTGGAGAACTCTTAAAGTGGGTGAACCGCGGAAAATCCGACCACTAAACACTGAAAAGGATCTAAAAAGATCTAAAGAGCTAAGGGGATGGCTGGGAGCCACAGAGAAAAGAAATGAAGCCCAGAGGCGCCTGACTACTGGGGAGATTCCGGGTGTTTCCGTCACTCTACTCGAGCAAGTGGTAAAACATAATGGATGCACCCGCAAATGTTGCTGCCCCGGATCAGGCGAAATACCATCAGATTGGGCCTTCTTCTTGCCGTTCAATCAAGCACCAATGACGAAATGGCTTTGATGCCGGACCGGGAGAGGCAAAGCTTGGCTGGCCGTTAGTTTCTTGTTTAAGTTGACACGCAATGACGCACAAGCCCAATTTATCTTGGTTGCTTTCTGCTCCCCTGCTAAAAGTTTAACTTTTGGTGGTTTAATGGAAAACCCATTAGTTGGCAAAAAGTTAAAGTCCTAACATCCAAGCAAAATGCAACAAAGTTTCTCTTTCTGAAGATTCACTTTTAGGCTCCTCTCCACTCCGGCGCTTTCGCAATTGCGCCACAGCCCACAATGAAGACTTGAAGCTCACTCAACTTGCTGCTGCTCAGCAGGAATGTGGGAATGAACCTAGGGATTCCCTTAAAGGAAACCACATCGAGTATGGCGTTTTGTTCTTTTTTCTCGGTCATTCCATTTCTGCCTCCCGCACCAAGTTCACCTCCACACCCCACTTGCCCCGTTAAACCATTTCAAGCTGAAGGAGAGGGATTCCCATCCAGGGCTCGACAACTCGGGCTCGCCATGAGCACAGAAAAAGCTCGCCAGTATTTTTTGTGGTTGTTTTTTTGGGGGGTCGCTCCTACCAAAAATCCTCGGGGGTCCGCAAGGGTCGAGGTCGTACGCAAGCCGAATTGCCGAGGCCCCCCGCCAAGGTGAAGGCCCGGCACCTGAAGGCAGAGATGAAGGAGAGACGACTGGAAGATGGGAAGGGGGGTGCAGGGCTAGACTTTTGGGGTGCGGAAAAAACACCCAACTTTTGGGTTTGTTTTTGCTTTGTTGGTAGACTTTTTGGGCTGGTAAGATTAGACTTGGGGCTGTTTTTTGCTTTGTTTCTCATATTTTCTTTTTTTGGGGGGGGCCAGGGGGGAAAGGGGGAGGGCGTCGGACTGCACGCGCCGGCTCCTTGCTCATGGCCGTGGTTGCTTGTTTTACCTAGAGTCTGCGCCAGCCCCAGCTTGTAAGCCTTACTAGGTCCTCCAGTAGAGAGGTTAGAATAAGGGTACCCTTTTTTCTGTCGTCTATTTTATGCTGCGGCCTTGCGGCTGCAGCCGAAGCAAGCTCACACATAGGTGTGGCTCAAAATTAAACAGGGGGGGTTACGCAGGTTTTGGTCCATGTTTCCACTTACCAGGGTTCCATTTCGGTACCGGTTTTGTGTGTCGGCGCCTCCCTCACTCAGACAACACGGCACTTCAAGGCAAACCAAAACACAGAACACAGCACTTTAAAGCCAACGATACTGGCCGAGGTGGGCTGCGCGAAGCGTTTACAATTGCAGGCCAGTTTGCAGATTTGTGAACAGAGCTCAGTGCTGGGTCCATCACAGTGACATCCTCACTTTTACCTGAGCCAAATGGTGACTAAAAGGCCCCAAACATAAATTTCATGGGGTTGACAGAGGGGAATGGGCGGGTTCCTTCCAAGCGACCCCCCTTTAAGGGACGTCCCAGCTTATTCTTTCGGGGCCCCCGAAAAAAGCGAAGAGGGGACCCTTAAACCACCCCCAAAGAGTGTACCTAGAGTCTCAACGACCCTTAACGGTGTCATGACCTCGACACCCAAAAGGAACGCCGTGTCACCCCTTCTCGACCTCCGTATTTTTCATGGAAGTTTTCGGCAACCCCTCGCCATGGATTTTAAAATGTGGTTGAAAAATCAGCCTGGCACTGAGAAGTCACTTAGAACCCACATTGAAACCAGTGGCTTGGAGATGTTCTCCCCTGGCGGTCCAAACATGTCCATGGTGGACTTTGGTTGATTCGGGGCCCAGACGGCGAAACAAATGTGGGTGCCCGGTCTCTTTTTCAACCAAACTGACCGAAAAAGGACCCCTTTATTTGCATACCCGAGACACATGGCCATGGATCGAAAAATCCCGTACCGAAATCCAGTGAACATCCCAATCCAACCACTAAAATAGGAAGCCTAAAATGGGTGGGGAATTCACCCACCAACCACAAAATGGGATCCCCAAAACGGTTTGGACAACCACAGCCACATGGGCTCCTTTCGTGTTGCTGAGCCCCGCGCCCGCCAGGAGCTCTTCCCATTTGCCACGGAGGCCTTGGCCTGGCTGAAGGAAAGCGATTCGAGTCGGTTGAGGGAAAAAACGTGCAGGAAGGCCAGTTGTTGTAAGGACGCTGAAAAGGAAGGTAACTGGAAGGCCAGAAAGGAAAGGAAAAACATTCAGGAATGACAAACAGGAAAGACAGATTTTGTAAGGAGGCTCGCTGAAAAAAGGAACTGGCCAGACGAAAAAATACAGGAAGGTCGCGGCAAGGAAGAAACATTGCCGGTTCAATTCGATGATATATAGCGGATCCAAATCCTCAAACCGGTTTTTGGAGGTCTCCTTTCAAGAAGGCCGTGGGCCTCGAACTTCATCCGAGGAAAAAGAAAACAAAAAACAAACTGGCCCGCTGAACGGGGAGAAATAGCGAAGATGGAAATAGCGAAGATGGAAGATAGAGACAGACTTCTCATCAATGACCAAAAAGCCAACACAACCCCCCAGACAGCCAATAGCTCGAAAACCAGAGCAAGAAGGCAAGGGAGCTGAAATTTGAAAATCTGAGACAGGACAGAACCGGATGGGCTCCGCAACTGGTTTCAACCATTCACTCGCACCCATCTTTTTGGATAGGAAAGAGAACTCGCATAGGAAACTGGAGTGCTACTAGGCCCCCCAATTTCCTTTGCTTTCCTTGTAAAATCCACCAAAACCATAAAAACGAGACACGCCCTGCCAAGTGACATACCGTTCCAGTGCCTCTGGAGAAGGCTGCGGAAGGTTAAAGAAGGGGTCTTCCAAGTCCTGGCAAGACATCCGCGCAAACTCAAATCGGCCGTTTCCATCTATACCTCTGCAAGGGCCCAAATTGTTGAAATGAGGTTGTGGGCACTTCCAAACTTCATTCAGTCAGAATCATAAAAGGAACATACTGATGGTAACTATTCAGCCCCTCGTGTCATCCCAGCCTCTCTCGCTTTCATACCTGCTGATTTCAGCCTGGCTTCAAGGTACAAGATGGGTGGCTCGCGAGCTGCCGTCCCGACCCTCACATTGGCCGCTTCCAGCCCTCGACTGAATCCGACATCCTCAAAATGACACGGACAAAGAGTAAGGCCCGTGTGCGGCTTGGCTTTCCTCACACACGCGGGCACTTTACATGGGCCATCTCGCAAAAAAAGACAAAAAACTACACCAGTATAGACCCCAGGTAGCAAAAAACACATGCAACTGATTGCACGCCAGCACCTCCAACAGCCCCCCCCCCCCGAAGAGCGCCCCAACCAGCATCCAGCCGTCAATCTCGCCCGCGCCGTCACTCTCACCTCCAACAGCACCCTGCACCAGCACCCCAAACTGCATGCCCCCTTGGACCGTCATCAATCTCGCAAACATGCGCCCGGCGCCTGCACCGTCACCTGCATGCCCGCTAGCACCCGGCGTCAATCTCGCGAAAATATGACCACACCGTCACCAGCACCCCAAACAGCGCCCCAAACAGCATCCCAACACACCATCTGCACCAGCACCCCAAACTGCATGCCCCGTTGCGCCCTACCGTCAAGATGCAAAAATGGGCCCGCATGCCGCTAGCACCTGGCCGTCAATCTCGCAAAAAGAAGCCCGCACCGCCCCAAGCAGCACCTACACCAGTACTTACACCAGCACCCAAACTGCACGCCCCCTAGCGCCAGCCCATCAATCTCGCACATCACTTTCCCCTCTTAGAACCACTATAGCTCTCAGCTATCCAATTGTTGGACACACCCTCATGTTTGAAAGGAAATTGAAAATACTAATTTGAAAAACAAAAAAGGAACAAAAGAAATTACACCAGCATAGACCCCAGATAGCACACCACGGCCACGAACATGACGCAGCATCATAATGGCTCCCGCTGCATCATGATGATGTTGACAGCATCATGGTGATGTTGACAGCATCATGATGATGTTGACAGCAACTTAGCACTGTGCGCTAAAATTGGCGCGCAGACAACGTCCTACTGAGCGCAGCAGCAGAATGATGTTGACAGCATCATGCTGATACACCAGCCACGAACGATTCCACGTTACATATTCGGCAGACAAAAGGCAGAGACGACGTCCTGACGGGTTCGACAGCATCATGATGACGCGGACAGTATCATGATGATGCGGACAGCATCATGATGATGACGGCAGCATCATCGTGATGCGAACAGCATCATTGTGATGGTAGAGGCAGGCGAATGATCATACCACAGCCACAAATCATCTTGCAAAAGCGTAATGAAATTCAGCATCATCCTGCTGTTGACAGCATCATGGCACAATGATTCCAGCAGTATCATGACGTGGTCGACAACATCATGATGATACACCAGCCACGAACCACTACGCGCCACAGTTAGGGCAGCAACAACGTCCGAATCGATTGAGTTGACAGCATCACGATGCTGCGGACAGAATCATGATGATGCCACAACCGCGACACCCCAAACAGCACCCGCCCTCAAAACAGCAGCCCCAACAGCACCCGAACGCAAAACCGCGCCTTCTGTTAGAACCCCTACGGCTTTCAATTGTCTGGGAAATAAGCGCCCGCGCGGTCAGCAGCACCTCAAACAGCAACTCAAAACAGCACCTGACACAGCCCCAAACTGCATGCCCCTAGCACCCGCAATCTCGAAAAATTGCGTCCACAACGTCACCAGCACCTCAAACAGCACCACCCCCAAAAGCACACCTGCATCAGCGCCCCAAACTTGCAGCCATCAATCTGGCAAGAATGCGTCTACCCCTTCACCAGCACCTCAAACAACACCCCAGAACAGCACCTGCACCAGCACCAGCACCACCATACACAAGCACCCCAAACTACATGCCCCCTGACACCTGGCCGTCAAGCTTGCAAAACAGCATCCACCAGGCACCTCCACCAGCAGCCCAAGCTGGATGCCCCCTAGCACCCAGCCGTCATGCTCGCATCCACCAGCACCCCAAACTGCATGCCCCCCAGCACCCGGCCGCCAATCTCGCAAAGCGGCACCTCCACCAGCGCCCCAAACCACATGCCCCCTAGCACCCGGCCCCAAACTACATGCCCCGCAGCACCCGGCCGTCACCAGCACGCCAAACTGCATGCCCCCTAGCACGCGGCACCTCCACTAGCACCCCCAAACTACATGCCCCGTACACCCGGCTGTCAATCTCGCAAAGCGGCACCTCCACCAGCAGCCCAAGCTGGATGCCCCCTAGCACCGTCAAGCTCGCAAAACAGCATCCGCAAGCCCCAAACTGCATGCCCCCTAGCACCCGGCCGCCAATCTCGCAAAGCGGCACCTCCACCAGCAGCCCAAGCTGGATGCCCCCTAGCACCGTCAAGCTCGCAAAACAGCATCCACCAGCACCCCAAACTGTATGCCAGCACCCGGCCGTCAATCTCGCAAAGCGGCACCTCCACCAGCAGCCCAAGCTGGGTGCCCCCTAGCACCCGGCCGTCAAGCTCGCAAAGCAGCATCCACCAGCACCCCAAACTGCATGCCCCTAGCACCCGGCCGCCAATCTCGCAAAGCGGCACCTCCACCAGCAGCCCAGGCTGGATGCCTCCTAGCACCGTCAAGCTTGCAAAACAGCATCCACCAGCACCCCAAACTGCATGCCAGCACCCGGCCGTCAATCTTGCAAAGCGGCACCTCCACCAGCAGCCCAAGTCGCAAAACAGCATCCACCAGCACCCCAAACTGCATGCCAGCACCCGGCCGTCAATCTCGCAAAGCGGCACCTCCACCAGCAGCCCAAGCTGGATGCCCCCTAGCACCCGGCCGTCAAGCTCGCAAAACAGCATCCACCAGCACCCCAAACTGCATACCCTCTAGCACCCGGCCGCCAATCTCGCAAAGCGGCACCTCCATCCAGCGCCCCAAACTACATGCCCCCTAGCACCCGGGCCCAAACTACATGCCGTCCAGCACCCGGCCGTCACCAGCACCCCAAACTGCATGCCGCCAATCTCGCAAAGCGGCACCTCCACCAGCAGCCCAAGCTGGATGCCCCCTAGCACCGTCAAGCTCGCAAAACAGCATCCACCAGCACCCCAAACTGCATGCCAGCACCCGGCCGTCAATCTCGCAAAGCGGCACCTCCACCAGCAGCCCAAGCTGGATGCCCCCTAGCACCCGTCAAGCTCGCAAAACAGCATCCACCAGCACCCCAAACTGCATGCCCCCTAGCACCCGGACCTCAAGCTCGCAAATCACTTTCCCTTCTTTATTAGAAGTTAGAACCCCTATAGCTTTCAGCTATCTGGGGAAAAAGAAAAAAACAAGGTGCCCCTTCAATTGTTCTTCCAGAAACCCACAGGTCCCCCCCCCCCAGCCCCCCATCCTCTGCACTGGCACCGAAGCCGTTCCGCTCCAGGCCAGTCTCGGTGCGCGGGTGCTGCGCCCGCCAGGCCTGCCGATCGCGACCGCGGATCGAAGGCGAGCGAAACCCACGGAGCACGGGGCTTCGCCTCAGTCACGAGGCATCGTCAAACCAGACGTGGGAAGAATGACTGGTGGATGGGTGGAAGGAAGGGTGGATGGGTAAGTGGCATAGGTGGCGTGGGATGGGTAGACGGATGGATGCCATTGGTGGCATGGGTGGAAGGCAGGGTGGATGGGTGGGTGGGAAGAATGAAAGCCCATGGAAAGAACCCAGTTGAACTGACAGAATCGGATTCTTCACCTCTCGACATTGTGTTCCAGTTGTCCATGGGAGTAATTCGGCATTTGTGTTTTTGGTATGTCTTTAAAAGCAAGCCCGTCTAAAGACAAAACCCCGAAAACAAAATAGAAAAAAAAGAAGAAGAAAAAGAAAAAGGCAAACCCCTGGCCAACCGGGTCCATTTCTTATTTTTGGGGACCCGTACCCTTTGGTGTGAAGGAAAACCACTCCAAACCGACCAACCAGCCAGTCAAACAGAGCAGCCACAGCAGTCCAAATTCGAGCAGCAAGGCAGCAAACGTTGGATTGACTAATTTGACATCACAAATGGATATCTTTGTTAATCCGCAGCCCCAACACCCGCATTCAATCCCTTTTTCTGTTGAAATCTCGATCGGCGCAAGCACGCTGCGCCTGCCAGCTAGCTTCCGCTTCGGCACTGATGGCAGCCTAGCGGGGCCCGAAGCTGCATGGGATCCAACCCGTCACGATTCAAGTGGCCCATGGGATCCATGCCAATCCGGTTCACCGGAAGTCGGATGTCTCAGGTGAAATATAAAAATGGATGTACTTCCTTTTCCAACCATGTTTGAGGGCTTCCAACCGTCTAGGCAAATCATTGCCACACCGCCCAGTAAGGGACCGCAATGAGCAGTTGACGTTCATCTGGGGTCGACCTTCGCCCAGCGTTCTTCAAACACGAATTGTCCTTCCCGGATGTGGGGTTTGTTCTACCTATCAGAGAGGTCTTCGCGACCCAAGTTGCCATAGACGGGCCGCCCCCGGAACATGTCCCGGCCTCGTTGGCCCTCCCGGGAAAAAAAACCTTCCCCAACTGAAACGGTACAATGCTCCGCAACAACTTCTTCGTTCACCGCCACCAAAAGAGAACAGGGCTGCCCAAACTGATCCTCCGCCAAAAGTGAATAACTTGTTAGTGGGTGAAATTCGGGAAACTACCACCAAACACTAAAAGCATCTAAAAAGCTAAGGAACCGGATGGCTGGCTTCGCCACCAAGAGAAGCTTGGGTCGGAGGGAGGTCGGAGAAAGGTCGGAGAATCCCCCGAAACCGGCCGGCCCTCCATCGACTTCCGACGTCCGACGTCCCCGCCTTCCGCGCGCGCAGCTCTCGCTTCTCCGCTTCCCGGAAGGTCTCCCCCGGCTGGCGGCTGCTCCTAGCAACGAAAAAAACAAGGGTATCCGAAACGCGGGAAAGGTATGTGTGTGTGGGTTGGGTCAAAAATCATATATCCATCCGGATATGGACCGCAGGTCTACTTTCCATTTGCCAGGGTGTATCTATTCTTGACCCGCAACCGTGTGAATTGTCCCAGCCTTCATTGAACCTGAACAAACTTTGACAGATCCCGACCAGACCTCTTCGACCCTTTCCAACCTGGTTCCACGAACAAAACTCCAGTGTGTGTGTGTGTGTGCGCGTGTCGAAGTACAGGGTCCTCGGAAACTACCAAGCTTGCTGGTGCGATAGGCAGGGAATGACTTGGAATGAACCTTATAAACCATCCAACTGGTGGCTTCCTTCAGCCAGGTTCATGGCCACATTCCCCACTGAATACCAGCGAGAAAAGGCAACCCCAACTTGCAGATGTTCCCGCCACATGGCTTTTGTTGTGTGGTTTTTCTAGACCATGTTGGGTCGGATTCCGGGGACGCTGAAAATAGGGAGCTTTTCGTGCCCATTTAAATCAAGCCGAAAAGGGTAATTACCAAAAAAAAAAAACGGTCGGGGGGGGGGGCGCTCAACACAGGGGGACCCCAAAATGGGTTGTTTCCTTTGGCTTCCCTGGTTCACCATTTTGAGAAACCTCCAAATCTCTTTTGAGACTCACCGACAATAGGTCCTTTAAGGTCAGTTTGGCTGAACATGGATGGTCTCTTGACTAATCATGTACTCGTACCTTGTCACTCAAAATGCCCTGGGTAGTCTATTGTTGGCTTTTGAGGAGGATATGGAGGACGACCCACATTGTCCACCAAAAAAAACCGGAGGAAACTATATTTTGCTCATGTCTGTTTTAGGAAGCAAACAAGACTATCCGATGGTCATATGCAAGAAAATACATACCCTTCCAAAAGCAATAATGGATGAAGTGCACAGGCCCGTTTCCTGGAGGACAGTCTTCCAAAGGGGGACTGAGCACGTACATGTTGGATGGAGTTCATCTTTTTGAGGGTTGTAATAGCCCAGCTATACAGAGGGCTCGATAAGCCAACTGGCCTTAATTACCATCCGATGCAGAAAATCCTTAGGAACCCCTCAACCACCGAAAAGCCCAGCCTGCCGGCCATGAGGCAAACATGGGCACATTCAGGCCAAACGATCCAACAAAGTGCTTCCGTGCTTCCATTCGGACGCGTGCTTGATTGGGGCATTTTTCTATAAGGCTTCGAAGGGGCGCCCAGAGAAGACTCATTTTTTTGGGCTCCCCTTATTTCCCCGACCATCCATCTGCACTACCCACCCACCCGTTTCGGCCGGGGCCCCCCTGCTTTAAGACCTGAGCGCCGGGCGCAGGAGCTGGATTCTTCGCAGCTGCCTGGCCGGCTTCCAGTAGCCTCAGCGTGGCCTGCGCAAAGTGGGGGTTGCAACATGGGCCGAAGTCCCGAGCCAGGTCCACCTTTAGCCGGACTTGTTGTGGTCTCCACGGCACGGCGTGAGCAGTACCGGTGGTACCTGGGGGGATTCCGAGTAGCATCGCGCTACTCCATACCGTCGCCTCCCAGGTCCGTCTTTAAAACGAAATGTCCTCTTAGGGGCAGGAGCTCTGGAGCTGGTGGGAGTTGGCGTTCGATTCGGCCCAGGCCATACCGGATTGGCTGGAGACGTTAGCAACCAGGCGACCACTCGTTGAAGCCTACAATCAATAAGAAACTCTTGCAGGGGATTCGGGATCTGCGGGTCTGCCCACTTTCCTTGGGCACCACTCCCCCCATAAAACGGACGCGGGATGCTCGCAAACGACTCCCAAAATCTGTCAGCCCACGCGAATGGCTCATCTAGCTCCTACGCAAACCAGCTGAACAACCAGGATCGATGGCAGAAAGCCGCACCGAACAGGGGACTGTTTCCTATGCACCTTCCTCCCTCCCGATGGTCACGCAACCCAAAAGAAACGTCGTCATGTCTGAAGCAGTCGGGGTCCAAACCCAAAGCACTATTTTTTTCAAGAGGGAAAACCCCTCACTTGCTGAGTGGATGGCCCAAACAAAGACCAATTTATATTTACCACTAAAATGGTCTTCCCAAAAAGTTTAAAGTTCATGAACTCAGGAAGTGAGACCCCAAAGAAGAAGAGGAATTGCACCTATGGAAGCCTGGGGGGTTTGCCCTTGGCTGGGGCCAGCAACCACCCTGCGCCCCTCCGCTCCCGGCGCCTGAGGCAGGCTGGCCTGACCCAGCTCGTAGGGCGTCTTGCCCTCCTCGTCCAAAGCCGTCAGCGCCTCGAACGGACGCGCCGCACCGGTGATGCGCTGAAGCATCCAAGTGGGCGTGGCCCCTTCAAGGACGCGTGTTGAAAAAGGAAACCCGTTTGCGGAGGGTTGTCCAGGAAACAAAGGTGAGCAGTCTTGGGTCCATTGAAGTGACATCAAAATGAGCTGAGCCAACTGGTGGTTCAGTGAAAACTAAATTTGAGAAGCGCAACCGCTTCAAAGAACCCAGAACGGTCAGCCACTAGCAGGGGGCCGGCTGTCTTCTGGATGCACAACCCGAATCCCAGGGCTCTCGCGCTGCCGCTGCCAACCAGAAGCTTCACACACTTGTCGTTGCCTGCTCGGCAGGCCTGCGCAAGGGTTGAAACTTGAAACAGGTGTCCTACTGGACAAAATCAAGGGATTCCACCGGCAAGTAACAAAGGAAACAAACTGAAAACCCGTGCAATGCATCCATGCGCTCAACATGCCTGAAGGAACTCGGAACACCCCTTGTGACGCATGCGCTGCTTTGCCACGGTCCAAGCTCCGCCAAATACACGTCAGTGGAACTTCTTTTCGAAAAAGAAAACACACACACACACCGTAGGTTCCGCGTTGATTGGAAGAAACTCGTTGCAACGAACTGCCCAACGGCCCCCCAGCTCCGCCGGCCTCGTGTAACGGCAAGTTGCCTTTCCCATCGGCATGGTTCACAGAGGCTTTCGCCTCGGGCAAAACAACCAGACGTGTTCCTCAAAATTCGGGGCCGACTCGTCTAGGTGCTTGGTTTCCTTTTGGTTTCCCTTTCAAATCCACAAAGAGGCTTCCTTTGCTGAGAAAGACGCAGCGCCAGAGAACGAGAAGAAGTGTGGACCCCTGCTGATGGTTTTCACGCACGGTCAATGTCCCTGTTGTCCACAGCTGACATTGGTGAACAAACCCAATGGCGCTTTGGTGAGTGTACATCGCCCTAGCAACAGCAAAGATGAATGAACGTTTTTTTCATGTCCTTCTGAAATGTTTTGAACACAACGCGTAGCTCCGAACAAGTCTCTCATGACTCTCATGTGTTGGACTCCCATACGCGTGTCACCTGTGAGTAACATTATTTTCATACCTCATTTGAGCATCACAATCGACTCACAAAGTTGCCGCCTCGGACCGCGGGAACGCCTACGAAATGGTCGCCTTCTGAAGGTTGCCCCTTGAGAAGCTAGGTCAAAATACGGATGGGCAGGATATATTCCTCCTTCTTGCTCCGCACCTGGGGGCAATCCTTTCAAACGGTGTTACTTGGATGGTCCAGGAGTCAAGTACATGTTTAGCAACCCTGCCTCGCCTAAGGCTTCCTCCCAAAGTTTCCTCATGTTTAAACACCAATGCATCCACCTTTGCGCCAGCCCTGATCCACCGCCCACCCCCCACCCACCCACCACCCCGCAACCCAGGTGGCTGGATCATCTTAGATTGCTCATGTTTGCGCTGGGTGCCCCAACCACTGTGACGTTGCACAGCACTTGCACAGGTCACAGCCCCGGATTCGAGACCAAAACCCACCCCACCCACCCCACCCACCCTCCACACCCACACCCACACCCACACCTACCCACCCACCCACCTCATTTCTCCAACACCACCCCTTCCCCCCACCCACCCACACCCACACCCACTCCCACCCTCCACCCTCCACCCTCCCACCCCACCCACCCCCACCCACACCCACGCCAACGCCAACGCCAACGCATAAAAACGACGGTGGGAGCATGGCATGCTCTGGAGCTGTTGCGATCGAAGGAGAGACCCTCTCTCAACACCCACCCACACCCACCATCACACCCCGCCCACACTCATCCACCCACCCACCCACCCACCCACCCACCCACCCACCCACCCACCCACCCACCCACCCACCCACCCACCCACCCACCCACCCACCACCCACCCACCCACCCACCCACCCACCCACCCACCCACCCACCCACCCACCCACCCACCCACCACCCACCCACCCACCCACCCACCCACCCACCCACCCACCCACCCACCCACCCACCCACCCACCCACCCACCCACCCACCCACCCACCCACCTCCAGCAGCTGCTTGGCCACCACCACCGCCTTCTCATTCGCGCCAGCGCCGGCCGCGTGCAGCGGTGTGGACCCATCGCTGGCCCGGCAGGCAGGAGACAGGTGCTGCTTGCCTTCGCGCACGCTCAGTAGCCAGTCGCTCGCGTTGGAGCCAATGCCCTCCCAGAAATAAAGACGGAATTTTACAGTAAAGGAAACCCTCTCCTCAGGTTCCATGTCCACTGGTGGGAGAGTACCCATTTAGGTAAACGGTAGAAGTCCTTATGGACATGGAACCCCTTTGATACAGCGCGTGAGGAATTCAAAAGCAAACCAAGCATTTGGACGGGGGGCCTAATGTACAGGAACATCCGTAAACAGCCCGCTTTGGTGTGTCAGCTGCCTTTCGAAATGCACCCCGATCTCGAGAACTCAAACATCGGTTCCGTTAACGAAAGCCAAGCCCCTTCCAAAAAGAAACCCGACGGGGGATGAAATGAAGTTGCTTATTCGCAGCCCAAAGCAACACAAAATCATACCTTTCCGTACACTCAGAACACGAAGGCACCAACATGACATGCAAACCCAACTTTGCGCCGGGCGGGACATTAAGCAAAGCCAGACTGGCGGGCTGCTCTCTCTGGCGGGATACTGGCGGGATCCACTGGCGAATACTGGTGGATAAGGCTCTCAATGCAAAGCTTGTTGAGCAGTCATAGGCCCCAAGCCACTCGAAAACCATGCTTGAATTCACACAACCGTGTTCACGGTCGTAAGCTCGTGAGTGTGGAGGGTGGGGATTGCTCGAAGTGAAGTATTTGTTTTAATTCGTAAAAAAAAATGGGTGAGCGACTTCCCTCTCGCGTGGGACCCCCGGCTGAGCAGAAAGGCGGTGAGCTCCGGGCACGCGTGGCTGGCGGCGTAGAAGAGGAGGTTTTTGCCCTCGTCGTCCCGGAGGTCCGCGGGCACGCCTTCGCAGACCAGCCATTCCTCGCGAGTGGCGAGGTCGGGGCTTTTCGGCGAAATCCGCGGCTTTTCAGCGCCGACCCCCGACTTTTGAGCTGATGCTCGCTCCACTTTGGGTTTGGAGGGAAACCAAATGCGAACCAGCCAGTTTGGGGGGTTGACCTGTTTTGCTGCTCTCTCGAAGAGGAAACCCGTCATGGAGAAGTTCTTTTGGTTTCCCTTGAAAACAGCACCAAGGACCAAGAACAGGTCTAACTCTCAAAGAGTAAGGCAAACGAGCGGCCAAAATGTCTTGTTCCCTGTCCCCAGCTTTGGTGGGAAGAGCTCGTCCTCCAAAATGAACCATGGAATGCTGATATTTTGCCCCAAACCTGCGGGTGTCTTCTTGCAAGCTCGGTGCCGTTTTTAGGGTTTGTGCTAAAGTCTTGAAGCAGAACCTCCCAGCCCTTATGCACATTGTCTGATCATGCGCATGTGCCTGCGGCCTTGGACACAAATCCGTGGTCAGCAGCGATGTCTTCATCCGGTCCATGCCAAAACAAAGGGCACGCCCGCCCTCTTCATGGTTTCACAAGACATGAAAGACATGCAAGAGAGAAAGAGAGAAAGAGAGAAAGAGTGAAAGAGTGAAAGAGAGAAAGAGTGAAAGAGAGAAAGAGAGAAAGAGAGAAAGACAGAGAGAGAGAGAGAACTGAAAGAGGTAAAATATATGAAAGAGAGAAAGAGAGAAAGAGAGAAAGAGAGAAAGAGAGAGAGAGAGAGAGAAAGAGAAAGAAAGAGAGAGAGAGAGAGGAGAGAGATGACGGGGATGAAGGAGATGAAAGAGGTAGAAGAGATGAAAGAGATGAAAGAGAGCGATAGATATCAAGGAGATGAACAAGATGAGAGAAAGTGATTTTCCCACTTGTTTGGACTCCGGTCACCTGGCCATGGGTCAAAACCCCGTACCCGCAGTGAACCTAAAATGGGTGGTGAATTCACCTACCAACCACAATGGGATCCCAAAACAGTTTTGACAACCACACCTCCCTTTCTTCGGCCAAAAACCGGCTAACGCCCTTCTCGCCCCCCTTCTTGCCCATTCACGGTCACCTCCCAATGTTTTTCCCCAAAAAACGAGGCCATCCGTTGGTTGTGACCCACACCCACCTCCCTTCTCCCCCAAAACCCCCCCTCGAGTTGCTCCCGAGCCGAACGTCCACTTCGCCGGGGTTCCGCCAGACTCTCCGCCCCAGCCATGCAGGCGCACATGGCGGCGCTGAGGCCTCCTGCGCCGTCACTCCCGGAACCCGAAACGGACCTTGGCCTTGGCTGCCGCAAGGAGCCCCCCTGCACAAAAGGTGGTATTGTTTTGTTTTTGTTTTTTTACCTTTTGGGGGTTGAGTGGAAAACCCAACTTGAATTCACCTTTATTAGAAAACACATTTCAAGGTTCTTAGGGGGTTCAGTGGAAAACACCTTTCCTTAAATTTCAACCAAAAGGCTATAAAGTCTAAAGATCCAAGCCAATGGCAGTCAAGTGGAGCCGGTTTTTGCTGGTCTGTGTGACCAAAAGGCCCCTTAGCAAACCAACATGGCATTTCCAACCAAACTAACCCAGAACAGAAACAAATATAGAAGAGGCGCCTATTCTGGAAAACGGCTTGGAGGTGGCGAACCGGTTTCGATCTACCCCTGTAGTACGACAAGAGTACGAAAAAAGGACCAACAACGGGTCCTGAACAGGTGAAAAATCCACAAAGAGCGCCTCTCCTTAAAACGTTTTCTAGAAGATTGGAACCTACGAACCACACGACTCCCTTGGGTTGCAAACAGCAAACCCAACTTCTTGGGGTCTTCGAGATGTGGAGCATGGGTATGACATGAAATTGTTGGAGCCCCGGCAGCCCCGAGATGGTGGCTCCCCTCTAAACCAAGCCCCGAAAGAGGGCGGCCTAACTCAAAATGCGCATACCCAAATGCGTTTCGTCTGCTTCCAAATCAGCAATCAACCTGGCGGTCAGTGGAAGCTCCCAGACTGAGGACTTGCGGGCATCAAAAGTGTGTCATTCTATTGAGGACACCCATTTTTCGGCGGTTTCAAAGCAACAACCGCAAAAACAAATCAAAACAAAAACAAAGAAAACACCACGCCCTTTTTTGGGGGGTCCAAAACTATGTTTCAACAAGCAAAAACAAGCAAAAAACAAAACAAAAAAAACGCACCCCTTTTGTTCTGCCCCGTTTTTCTTCTTCCGAAAACCGCATCACCGCACCTGGCGCCAGCGGTATCAGGGAGGCCCGACACACCTCCACCAGGGCCATGGCCGCGTCGCTGTGCTGCTGCAGGCAGGCGATGTGCAGCGGCGTGCAACCTGCCGAGAGCGGAGCGGACGCCGGCAAACGCTCGGTGTCCTTTTGGAAAAATGGATGGCCCTGGTCAAGAGAACAAAACCCATCTAAACCGGTGCCTTCTAGTTTTAATCAAACTAAGCTAAAAAGGACACCTATGACCCCGACAAAACACTTTGAGCGCAGAACAATTGCAAAAAGTGCCCCTCCAAACACTTTCTCTATATTTTTTCGGCCTTGGTGGAAAAGAATGAAAGGGGCCCCCAAGAAAGCAAAAAAACAAAACAACAAGGGGAGCCAGGAAACACGAAACCTGTCACTTCATGAGGCGAGCTCGGAGAAACTTGTTCTATGAATTTCAGTTGGGAATCCCGGAATCCACGAGGCAACCACGTCTCGCCGCTTGAGGCTCTCAGTGAAACTTGCTACGAAATTTAATTGCGAATCCCTTCAAAAAGTGGTTTGTGGACATGAATCCCCGCCGAATAGTCTCCAGCCTTGCTTCATGAGGCGAGCTCGCCGCTATGAATTTTAAGTGGGAACCCCTTCACAATCTCCCAACGGACCCCCAATTTAAAATTCAAGCCCAAATGGTATGTCTCATGGGGGAACCCCCAAGACAGGTGTGCTTGTTCATTTTGGGGGCATCCCCGATTTTCCATCAGAGGGACAGGTTTCCCAGCCTCGGAACTCCCCGAAGAGCCGGGCATTCACGGAGTAGTGGCTGCTGAGCTTGAGGATCTGCCAGAGCTCGTTACTGCGCGCGGCTTCCCCCATCTCCTGTCAGAACTCTTCGAATCTGTGGGTTCCGGGATCCACTTTTTGCCTACCCCAAGATAGACTCAAACCCAGGGGGTGGTCAAAAACCCCCCAAAAGGAGAACCCCTGGGTCTAAGTCGATCTTCGGGTAGTCAAAAGTGGGACCCTGGGTTCTCTGTCCCGATTCCCAGGGTCCAGAACTCCATAACCATCCCTACAACAGCGATCCAGATGCATGAAAAACACCTGAACATTGTGTTGTAAGTTGTGGTTTCCCGTTATTTTGGTGTTGAAAACGCAACATGTTTCATCCTGTTACAGGGGCAGGGGACTTAGTAAGTGGGTTAGTAAGCCTGGTTATAACTCACTTACTATGGTTATAAGTCTCCCAAGTGGGTTATAACCAGGCTTACTAACCTCGGTTGCTTTCTGCTCCCCTGCCAAAAGTGACTAACCTTTAGTGGTTCAATACGGAAAACCCAAAAACAAGTTGGCAAAAGGTTGTTCAGTCCTAACCTTCCTTGGCATGCACCAAAGTAAGCACCAAGCACCAAGCACCAAGCACCCCACCCCGCCCCTTTCAGCACCAACTCCCCTCAAAGGAGCCGCATGGGACGTGGGACGTCTCCGTCGCTCCTGGCAGGTCTCCTCCGTGTCTGCAGCCTTGGGGAGCTGCCGCACACTTCTGCCGCTGAGGGTCACCTGGAGGAAAAGCTCCGCGCTGCTCAAGTCGTAGGTGGACTCTTGGCCCTAGGGGTGCTACCTCCACTCCAACCGCCACTTTTGGAGGTAAAAAAAAACGGACATTGAGGGGGCCCTTTTTCCGGAAAAAAAGAAGAAGAAGAAACCAAAAAAAAAAAAACATCACTCAGGCAGCTCCGGTGGCCGAGGTGTTTTTCCCCGCCCGCCTTGGGCGGCAGCAGCCTGTGGGCCGTCGGGGCCACCGGCGCCTCTGCCACGCGAGGATCCCGCAGCACCGCCAGCCGCTCCGGAGCGCTGCTCTGCCGAAGCAGCGCGCGCCACCCCGCGCCCAGGGCGCGGCTCGACTCCAAGGCGTCCAGGACACCCATGGAGCAGTGGCCCAGAAAGTCATCACTCACCTTGCGCGCTGAGCAAGGAACTATAGAGCTGATTTGCTTGTCTAGCTGAAATGCCGTCATCTCTGCTGCCATCATTTTGGAGCAAAGATGTGTTTAGTACCCGATTTTACAAGGATGCCATGGCCCGATCCGCTCGTTTCACCATTGGCATCGCTGGAATTGCTCGAAAACAAGCAAACAAAAAGAAGCAAGCCCAGGTCATAGCCCGAAGAGACCCGAAACCGAAAGCCTCCAGAAATTCTGCCAAAAAGTTGCTCGAAATTAAGAACGCCCATCTGAACAGCGCTTGTCTGGACAGAGAACCCTGAAGCTTCGAGGGGCACCTCGACCATGACCAAGGAACTACCAGGTCATAATCCAAAACCCGGAGGTAGAGCGTGAGGGCGCCGTGGGGTATGGTGCAGTAGTAGGTCTCATTCCACTCCGGCGCCAGAGAGCCCCGCACCACCCGACTCTTGGACCGGAACACCGCCTCGCGAGTCAACTTGCTTCAGCCACTGTTGCTGGTACTCTGGGCTCCCTTAGTGAGACCATGGGCCTGCTCAAGTTCAATCACTCAAGATAGAAAACAATGAAGTCGGCGGCAGCCGACAATCAAACTACCATGCGATGCTGGCTTCCCTTCAAGGGACGCCTTCGAGAAAAAAAGAAAGAAAAACGGGGCCCGCTCCTGGTCGAAGAGCTTCCCGCGGGCGCCACGCAGCTCCGACTTGGGCAGGTCCACAGACAAGGGATCCTGAGGAAACCAGAACCGGAATCATATGGGTGTGGGTCAAAATTAAACCAACAGGACCGCAGGTTGTAGTCCAATTTTCCATTTACCAGGGTTCCATTTTGGGTACATATTTTTGACCCACAGCCACATTGTCCCGCGTCAACATGGGCGAACCCCCGAATTGCGGTGTCCTTGTGGGATCCCCTTTTAAAACGGTTCCTCCAAAACACACTGGGGGCACCCCGCAACAGCTTCCCTCTCAAAAATTGGGCACCATACTTGAGCATAGCTACCTGTGTTTGTGGGTGGATCCCAAAACGATGGGTGCCCTTTCAGTTTCCCTCTAAACCACAGCACAAAAAGTGTACCTCTTGCCTCAAAAGAACACACCCATACTCTTTTGATGTAAATCAACGGGTAGCGGGTTCATCATGCAGCCTGATTCAGGCTAGGTCCTCCAGTGGAGAGCTTAGAATAAGGGTACCCTTTTTTCTGTATTCTATTTTACTGGGGGAACCGTTCCCCCCAAAAAAGAAACGGTCAAAGGGCACGATCCTGGGGGACCTAGCAGGGGGTCGCGAGCCGGGGGTGGCTTCGGACGTCGCGTCGCTTAATTACGTCGCCTCATGCAGCAGCAGCAGCTCCACGTAGGGATCCGCCGTGCCCATGAAGTCGGCCTTCGGGAGCCCTTGGGCCTTCTGCAGGAAGATGCAAAGCTCCACCTGGCGAGTCCACCATGGGGCGAGGTCAAAAATCGAAGGGACGGCTGGGAGTCAAATCAACTCAAAGCGGGGCTACTTAAATTCGAATGGGGGCTTGCTGTGCTTTAAACGCCAAAACTACAACTCACCCTGTCACTAGGGCCTAGTGGAAAGTTCAGGATTTGGGTTTTGTTTTTTGTGCTTTAAAGCCAAACTTCGTCATGATTGTAGGGGTTAGCAAGTTCTTACTGATATTTTCCAGACTCTGGGTCTAGTGGGAGACCGTGAGTTGTTCCCACGGCCTTCAAAATGGATGGCCTATCTTGATCCATCGTTGGAAAACCACAACGGGGACCACATCCTTTCGTAACCCAAGGATCTATCTCGAGAATTTCCACAAATGAGTGTGTCTCAAAAAAGGGGACCCCCTTCCCGCCCCACCCCAAACTTGCTTGTTGTTTAATGGGGACCAAGACTCAGGAGGAGACCAACCACCCCAGTAGCATAGGTGTCCCTTTTAGGGGAAATAGATGGATTTCCCTGGTAGATCATTAAACCACCAGGCAAACCAGCAAATCGCCATGCTACTTTTCCTATCCAGAACCACCAAAAAGGACACCTACGGCTCTGATTCTGCCACTTTCATGTGGCGGTGGGTCAAAAATTCAGAACCCCCTGGTGAACTACTTCTGCCCAGTCGTGAAGGCAATTCCCAGCCTGGCCCAGTTTGCCACGCCTCCGAGTCCTTTGGCGCTTCGACCGCCTTCTCTTCGCGCAGGGGGCGCGGCAAGGTGTCCTGCTGCCGGACCTGAGATCTGCCCTAAAAGTTCCCTCTGGGGGTTTAAGGGAAACCGAAGGAAAACCATCAGTTTTGGGTGTCCCGTTCTGAGGCCCTTTTTCGTGCGAGCCACGGTCAGAATGATTTGTTTCCCCAACCACACGGGAAAAGTGATGGTCAAAACCTTCGGCCCTACATGGAATGTGCTTGCTTTTCGGAGTGGCACAACAACGGAAGTGGTCTCTTCGAATTCTATTTGCTTCAGCCTCCCGGAAAACTTGTAAGAAATATGTCCAGTCGTGATTCCCTTTAAAACCAACAGGAGGAAACAAGGCAAATGGAAGTCATACTACAAAATATTCATTCTCAGCCAATGGATTCCGGTAGTCATAGATTCCAGCAGTGGCAGATTCGCTTCAAAACCAACAGGAGAAGAAAAAAAAGAACCCAAAAACATGGAAGTCATACGGAAAAAAACAAAATCTTCGCACTTCCAGCCACCGGACGGTTTTTCTGACGCCGAAGAAAAACAAAAAACGGCCTTCGTCTCCAAGCGCCGGCGCTGGTGCACCTCCGCACCGCAGCAGTCCCAGCAGCCGCCGCGGTGCGCCGTGCGCGCGGCCGCGCGCGCGGCCTGGGAGGCCAACAGCTGGCCCTCCTGCGGCGAAGTGCGGCGGCCGGGGCCGGCGGAAGGCCGTGGGAAGTCATGGGCCGAGGGTCCTGCAGATTTGAGAGGTTAGAAGAGAAGTTGGTACCCGATGTGATTTTTTGGTTTCTTTTTCTGTAGTCTGTTAAGTCTGCATGGGTATGGGTCAAAACTACACCATCAGGGATTGCAGGTTTGAGTCCATGTTTCCACTTACTAGGGTTCCATTTTGGGTCCCATCATTTTACCATGATCAAAGTCAGCCCTGTTCAGTGGTAGGTTGAAGGGAACAACCCCCATTTTCTGACTTTGATAACCCCCAGAAGGTGACTGGTGACGCGTGTGCTACCGAACTCGGCTGTCCGTTTTCAGATCCCCCGCTAAAAGTGCCGAACTTTAGTGGGCAAAGTTCGGAGAACCCACCACTAAACACTAAAACCATCTGAAAGGCCAAGGAACCGCATGGCTGGCTTCGCCAGCAAGCGAAGTGCTCGCCATCTGTTGGTTGACACCTGAAAAGAACTGGTCTGACCCATCGAAGAACATGGGAAGGTGAGGGTGACCCATCGATCGACGTCCCATTCGCTGCGGCTTGGAGCGAGCACAGTTTGGTTGAGGGGCTTCCCATTGACCCTCGACAAAAGGCAGGGGGGGGTGGGGGGGGATGGGATGGGGGGGATGGGATGGGGGGGATGGGATGGGGGGGATGGGATGGGGGGGATGGGATGGGGGGGATGGGATGGGGGGGATGGGATGGGGGGGATGGGATGGGGGGGATGGGATGGGGGGGATGGGATGGGGGGGATGGGATGGGGGGGATGGGGGGATGGGGGGGATGGGGGGGATGGGGGGATGGGGGGGATGGGGGGATGGGGGGGATGGGGGGATGGGGGGGATGGGGATGGGATGATGGGATGGGGGGGATGATGGGATGGGGGGGGATGATGGGATGGGGGGGATGGGATGGGATGGGGGTGATGGGGGATGGGATGGGGGGGATGGGATGGGGGGATGGGATGGGGGATGGGATGGGGGATGGGATGGGGGGATGGGATGGGGGGGGATGGGGGATGGGATGGGGATGGGATGGGATGGGATGGGGATGGGATGGGGGGGATGGGATGGGGGGGATGGGATGGGGGGGATGGGATGGGGGGGATGGGATGGGGGGGATGGGATGGGGGGGATGGGATGGGGGGGATGGGATGGGGGGGATGGGGGGATGGGGGGGATGGGGGGGATGGGGGGATGGGGGGGATGGGGGGATGGGGGGGATGGGGGGATGGGGGGGATGATGGGATGGGGGGGATGATGGGATGGGGGGGATGATGGGATGGGGGGGGATGATGGGATGGGGGGGATGATGGGATGGGGGGGATGATGGGATGGGGGGGATGATGGGATGGGGGGGGGGATGGGATGGGGGGGATGGGATGGGGGGTGGGATGGGATGGGATGGGATGGGATGGGATGGGATGGGATGGGATGGGATGGGATGGGGGGGATGGGATGGGATGGGATGGGATGGGATGGGATGGGATGGGATGGGATGGGAATGGGATGGGATGGGATGGGATGGGAATGGGATGGGATGGGATGGGATGGGAAGGGATGGGGGGGCTGGGAGGGGGGGATGGGATGGGGGGGATGGGCTGGGGGGGATGGGATGGGGGGGATGGGCTGGGGGGGATGGGATGGGGGGGATGGGATGGGGGGGATGGGATGGGGGGGATGGGATGGGGGGGATGGGATGGGGGGGAGGGGATGAGGGGTGGGATGGGGGGGATGGGGGGGGATGGGATGGGATGGGGGGGATGGGATGGGGGGGATGGGGGGGATGGGGGGGATGGGGGGGATGGGGGGGATGGGGGGGATGGGGAGTTCAAATCCCCAAACCAATCCACCTTGAAAAGTGACCATTTCGCCGAAGTGAGCCATCTGTTGGTTGACACCTGAAAACAACAGCAAGCAAACAGACGCGCGCGAAAGCCAAAAGCACCCACCCACCGACCGACCGACCGACCAAGGGACCCTAACAACTGAGGAAAGGGCTTCGCAAGGAAACTCCCGCTGCGAGGTCGAGTCTGAGACCCACCGCTGCCTTTAAGCCAACACACACTGAGCCGCTCAGGCTGCGGTCTCCAGAACATATGCGCCCAAATAGGGGGGACCCCCAAAATGCTGATTGTCATTGGGGTGTGCATTTCAACCAACCCCAAACCGTACCCCAAGACACGACCCCAAGAGTGCTGTCCAAAGACCCGATCCCATCGCTTCTGTCTCCATTCTGTCCTTGAGCTGCTTCGGACTCGGCGTCACAGAAGCACAGGGGCTGAACATCGCACGGCCGCGCCGGGCTCATGGCTGGCTCGACTCAAGTTCCGATCATCTGATCAGGATAGATCGGATACATCTCAGCTGCCGTGATACTTCCCGATAAAACATGACATCGGCTCGGTGAACCTTTAGATCTCATCAAAAATGTTGCTCGAAAACCCCACGGCGTGCCGTGACTCACGGCTCTCAAACACAAAAAGCCGAGCCGCCGAAGCACCACCCCCGTCAAAGCTAAACCGCCATACATCGCGGGTGTTAGGTCCATATGTTTCCATTCACCAGGGTTACGTTTGGAGCACCAATTTTGGACCGCCCAAATGTTTCTTCATTCCTTCGGTCGCCTCCCCCGCTCGGGCATGAAACAGCGAATCCAGTGGCCGAGAGACTCTCGAGGCCTGACGCATTGCTCGTGGGGTACCCAAACAGCAAAAACCGAAGACCCCTGCTTCCTTTTGAACCAGCTGGGTGTGTCTTTCTGAGGCAACCTTTTGTGGGGGTTTAAAGGGAAAACAAAAGTAAAACCCATAAACCCGATCATCCATTTCGAGTGTACCATAAAAAAAGGACATTTAGTCCAACTCAAATCTTGTTTTGGGCTCTCAAAAAACCGGCCAAGACCGTCCAAAAGAAAGGCGCCGCCTGATGAATTGCCGAGTGAACGGCGAAGTGTGACAGGTTGCTGGCTGACCTCGGCCACAGGACTCGGCTTCGAAAGCCCCAAGACCGCTCGAGTCCTGGGGGCAGAGTGCCATCCGATCCCAACGCTCGTTCCGAACCTCGGGGAACGGTTTGTAGGGCTGCTCCCAGTTTGGGAGAGGAAAGGAAACCATATGACTTGTTCAACTCAGGTTCGATCTTGGCATGGCCAGCCCGAGGGAACTGGATGGGTACCCATCACATCCCTCTCCCGAGAGACATTTCAGCCAGCTGAAGGCCATCGAAGCGACGGCATCAGTTCTTGGCTGCTGGGCTGCGGGCTGCAAGAAAAGTTGAAAGCCTCAAATGGGATCCTTACAATGGATACACCTGAACAGTGCAACTTGTAAATACTGGTTTCCCTTTATTTGGGTGTTGAAAACGCAACATGTTTCAAGTGGTTGCAAAATGTATTTTAAGGAGCCCTGTTAAAGGCAGGGGACTTAGTAAGTGGGTTAGTAAGCCTGGTTTCCAACATGTTTCAAGTGGTTGCAAGGTGTATCTTTTGAGGAGCCTTGCTGAGATGGGATGGCTTTTTGTCGATCGGCTTCTTTTGCTAACCCATCGCTGAGCCTAAGCCACCAGCAACGGTGACCCGTCTGTCGCCAGCCCAGTAGGCCTTTGGGCTCGCCACTCTCGAAAAGTGGGCGGAGGGGTGTCCTAAAAGTGGAGATCCTCGGGAACCAATCCAATCATGTCAATTCGAGACCCCTTTTGGTGTCCCTGGGTCACTGGATGGAAGCTAGATACACAAGAACAAAGGTGAAAGAATTGGGGACATTCCCCGATACATCGAATGGGATCTGACAGACCTCATGTGTACAGGTTCAAGCCCTCACACAGCAACAAACAAGAAAGCATGACAGCAGTCCACCACAAATGCTACAAGCAAAACGCCAAACAGCAAGGCAACCAGCAACAAAAGCATAACAGCAGACCACCACAAAGCCTACAAGCAACAGCATAACAGCAGACCACAAGACAAAAAGCAAAACAGCAAGGCAACAAGCAAAGCAGCACCCCCCTGGAAGTGTGTCACTGGCCACCTTAAATCAAACCCTGAAACAAAGCCAATTGAAAGAACAAAACCATAGACCATAATTCTGATAATAAAACTATCAAACTTATGTTAGTTAAACAGGTTCTCCAAAGAACTCACAACAGTTCTCCAAAGAACCCGCAACAGTTCTCCAAAGAACCCGCAACAGTTCTCCAAAGGACTCACACCCAGCACATACCACAGACAATAGCAGAAAATCCTAACAGACGACAGCAAAAGCAAATCAAAAGCACCGCCAGTCATTACACTTAGATGCGATGCATGTGGGCCTGAAATTCAGTGGTTAGGATTTGTTGTGGGAATTGTGTGAGATGGTAGGCAGTTCTTAAATCTGGTCAACAGTGTAGAGGGGGGAGGTATATGGATATATGAGGGGTTGAGGTGTGACATTGGCCTATTGCAAGTTATACCCATCTAACATGGGACCTGACTGAGGGGGTCCTTTAAAAGAGACCTGCTGGGGTCCATGTGTGTGGACTGAAAACTTGGCTGGAAATAGGACCCCAGCAAAAAACAATGTTTTGCCTGGTTAGTGGAAAACTAAGGGAACCCCAAAAAAGCAAAAATAAAAAAAGAAAGGGGAAGAAATTCTGGGGAAGAAAATATTCCCCTTTGGGTTTAATCATCGCCTCGGCACATTTGTGAGGAGTTTCCCTTGGAAGGGCTGATGTACGGAAACATGCAGGGAGCCTGCACAGTTTCCACGCGCCTGAGTGTGGCTCGGCATCGTCGTGTGCACCTGACCAAACTGTTTTGCGGGGGTTGTGTTTGGGTGGGTTGGGTGGTGGCAACAAAGAAGTCAAGCCAAGCACAAAAACAAGGGATGTGATGGGCGTCTGGATTTTGGAAGACCTTTGTTCCCATCCGCGGCCAATCCAGCTGATCACTCATTTGATGCAAATGACTGCAAGTCAACAGAGGCTGGTGATCCATGTCGGATCTGGAGGCTGCATACATGGCCTTCCCTTCAGATCACCTCGCATTATCACAGGTGAATGTGTGTATACATGTATCTCTCCCGCTCACTCTCTCTCTCTGCGTAAAGAAAAGCATGTATGTATCTGTATGTATGTATGTATATATATATATATATAGGGCTGGTTTGTCAACATCTTAATTCCCATTTTTGCAGCGTAGATCCCTCCTGCGCCGGCCTTTTTGAACAGAAGCCATACAGGTGCAGGTACATTGAGAATCGCGTGTGCCCAACCCAACTCCCCTGACAGTGGGACACTGCTGCACTCAGCTTTGGACGTGCTGGAAGGGCGCCAGCTTCTATTCACTTGTGTAGAGACATGTGTATCACACATGCATGTATAAGTGTGTGTGTGTCATATTATTTGCATATACATATATATACATGTATATATATATAACATGCACATATCCGGTGTATATTTATGTGTATATATATATAGTGTATATGTACACATCCATTACTACTATCTATCTATACACACATGTGTATATATATATATACATATATATTATATATATATATATATGTGGGTGCGGAACTCAAAGGGGAGTTGGTGGACCTCATTTTGGGGAGTTGTGTCCACCCGACTGGTTTCGCTGAGGCCAGCGCCACAGCCATGGGCCTGGGCACCTGGCGAACAAGCGACGTGCGGGTGGGTGGGTGGGTGGGTGGGTGGGTGGGTGGGTGGGTGGGTGGGTGGGTGGGTGGGTGGGTGTGTGGGTGGGTGGGTGGGTGGGTGGGTGGGTGGACCATTTGCTTGGCAAAACAACCAAAATGATGATGATATCCCACGAAAGCGTCCTTTACATGGGATAACCATTTCTTGGCAAACATGTGATATGTCAACCACATGGTCAAAAAGTTACCCATGATCATTTAAAGGCAAGGAATAAATGGGTGTGTGGCTGTCAAAAATAGCGGGTTGCCCCAAAATGGAACTTGCCCTGGCAAACGGAAACAATAGCTAAACCCTGCGGTCTGATGATCTAGTGGTTTCGTTTTGATCCATTCCTGTACTCGTATGGATTGTGCTCCATATGTATTGTGTTCCCCTTTGAGGAACAAGGAGATCCCCCTAATTTACCGAAGCTTGCCGGTTGGATGCGATTGGATCACTGAGATTGTTGCAAACACCTCGTTGCTCTTGATGGCCCCTTTTGGGGTTCTCGTTGTATAATCATTATGGGTTCACGGCTCTTGGTGTTCTGTGTGTGTGTGTTGCTTTTAACATCAGAAATCGCAACCATTTTAGTGTACTTGTAGTACACGAATTACACTTTGGCAGCTCCATCTGTTGTAATCATAAGACGCGCTGACATGCGGAAAAGCAACCGTCCTCGTTGTCGGTTTGTCGGCGTTTTCGTTCAGCTTTCAAGTCTGGCTACCCAACAAGCTGTGCTTTCCTAACTGACAAGGCTGCTTCCTGCGATAGTCAGCGTCCGTTTACGCTTTCTTGCTTTGCAGTAAAACAGAGCTGAGACCAGAGCCCTCCGAATACTGAGCTACACGCGGTTTTTATACAACCTCACCACAGTCGAGTTCTCTAAAATGGCAACTCCCAACTTCTGCCAATGGCCAGCCTTGTGTTTCGTTGGGCTTCGATGAATTCTGTAGACGCGACTTTTTGTCGCGTGAGATCTTCGACTTGTTTCAGTCTTGTTCCATGCTTCTATTCCTTTTGGGTTGCCCTTCCGGTGTGGATGAGAAAGCTGTGCCAGGGTCCAGGGTTCCTAATTGGATACATCCTAGACCACCTGCTTTACAAGGATGGGGATCCTCTACATCAGCTGGTATTCAACGGATCCAACTATTCTGCTAATTCTGGTCCTATCGCCTAATGTTGACCCAGGATTAATAAACCCGTCCCAGAAAAAAGGGGGGTGTTCCCTCCAAAAGTGGTAGGAATCCAACCACTAAAAGGGGACACCCCCCAATCAAAATCAACCATGTTTAACTTCATCCGGGGTTAACAGTACTCGCCAATAGAGAGAGTTGTGCCATCTTCTTTCACTTCGGGTCGTGGATGGCTACGAGATCCTTGCCCGAGTTGAATACTGGTCAACAAACCACCTCCCAACTGATTCAGGATGGAGTTTCAGTGGCTATCGAGTTGGATCCGCGCCTGTGGCACGGCGGGCGTGCTCGCAATCGAGGCCGCCTGAAACCCGAGACCCCGAAAACCCCCGGGGTTTACGCGGGGCGTGTCCCGAAGCACGAGCAAAAAAGGATCCACCAAGCTGAGAAACGCCCAAAAACGGTCTGACACATGGTCGTCTTGGATGCTACATGGTCCTCGCAAGCCGGATGTTGCGTGCTACCCGCAAGTTT